TCAAGTAAATAAATAAAATCTTTAAAAAAAATAAGTCATGGGGATGTAATTACTGCACGGCAACTACAGTTAATAACGTATATTTGAAAGTTGTTAAGAGGGTAGATCTTAAAAGTTCTCATCATGGGGCACCTGGGTGGCTCAGGCAGTTAAGCGTCTGACTCTTGGTTTTGGCCCAGGTCATGATCTCAGGGTCCTGAGATTGAGCTCCTTGTAGGGCTCTGCACTCAACTCAGCTCAGCTCAGCTCAGCTCAGCTCAGCTCCGAGTCTGCTTGAGATTCTCTCCCTCCCTCTCCTTCCCCCTCTGTCCCTCCCCTGGGTTGCGTGCACACACACTCTCTCTCTCTCTCTCTCTAAAATAAAGAAATAAAATCTTCTAACAAAAAAGTTCTCATCACAAGAAGAAAAACTAGGTCGTGATGGATATTAACTAGACTTACTGTGATCATTTCACAATATTTACAAATATTGAATCATTATGTTGTACACCAATAATTAATAGAATGTTATGTGTCAATTATATCTCAATTAAAAAAGACAATCAAGATTTATGGAAAGATACTTAGACAAAGATGTTGTTATTTTCAATGCAAAAACCAGAAAAAACCTAAAAGCCCAGCAATAGGCCAACTAAATTATAGTATATCCATGCTGTGGAGTAAGGTATAGCCACTAAAAATCAGGTTGAACGTTTACTGAGTGATTACCTTTGGGCAGTGGTATAATGGCCACCGATTTAACTCTTTCTTTGTATTTTTTCAAGTTTTCCCATCTGAACAATATCTGTAACTAGAAAAAAATGATCAAAGGTACCCTTTCAAAGTGGCTTATTTTGCCATTTCAAACCTGAACATCAAAGAAAATCAAAACGTGAAGTTTGGCCTATTGGCCAGTGGAGTTACAACCAAGCCAAAATGTCCCAGTGGCCACGACTGCAGCCTCCAGCACCACCATTCTCATCCTGAAAACACTAAGCATGGTGGGCCCCAGAAGGGGATTCAGAGCTTCCCACCTCTGTTTGCCAGTTTCTCCAGACCCACTTCTCACCTGGACCCTGGACATTCGTTTTTTGTTTGTGTTTTCAAAGTTCCTCTGACTGTAATGTGCAGCCACAGGTGGAAACCCACAGTTCTATTTCACTCTGCCTGTTCTGCAGATGAGACCCAGAGAAGTTCAAGGTAACATGGAGGTGGAGTCAGATCCAGGTCTCCTGATTGCTAAGATGGTTCTTTGTACTGGAGCAAGCCAATAAAGGGGAGCGTGGGTTTCTGTAGATTGACAGAACTGGAGGGCCCCAAATGTTTCAAAATAGGGGTATAAAGACTTCTCTAAATAACCTATCTTTGGTCCCTGCCTTAACCCAACTGTAGAACTATGTCTGAACAAATAGTTATCAAAAGGTATTTATGGAGCACCATACAATTTGGAAAGATCACTCCAGTCTAAAGTAATGACAGGGAAAGGCTCTGCAAAGTCTGTCTTTTTTTTTTCTTTTTTAAGATTTTATTTATTTATTTGACAGAGAGAGACACAGCGAGAGAGGGAACACAAGCAGGGGGAGTGGGAGAGGGAGAAAAAGGCTTCCCGCTGAGCAGGGAGCCCCATGCCGGGCTCGATCCCAGGACCCTGGGACCATAACCTGAGCCGAAGGCAGACACTTAACCATCTGAGCCACCCAGGTGCCTGCAAAGTCTGTCTTAATGCAACTGTGTTGAGTAAGCAAAGATGATAAAAATCAAAATACCATTCTATCCAAGGCTAGATTTACCCCAGAACAAATAAACACAATTCTAACCAGGCCTTTGCCCTCTTCCCCGGTCCCAGGATCCCTGCCTCTTGATCTTGGCTACTGCCAGGAATGTCCTCCTATGGTTACCCTTGTAAACCAGCTACCGTTGCACTGAAAGCAACCTGTTCTCCTTCCACCCAACCTCTGCCAGGCTCCCAGCCAGCCCCAACACCTCACACCTTCACAGTGAGACAGATAAAATGAAACCCTGGAATTTTTCCCTGGAAGGTCCACAGAAGAAAGCAATTTAGACTTGAGCTCAAAAGACCTGACTGTGCGGATATCTGGGAAGTCCTCAACAAAGCCTTTAAACCTTCAGGACTCAGACCTATTTGTGAAAGGCATGACTACTGGGGCAATCTCGAGGTCCACTCTGATTTATTCAATGACAGCTTTGTGCAACCCCAGCCCAGCCCTAGTTTGAAAAGGATGTAGTTAATCTGTAACTTAGCAGTGCCTGGTGTTGCATGAGAATTGGTCAAGGAAGTCCTTCATCATTTCTGCATTTGTCCTGTTTTAAGGATTAAAATAAATACAGCAAATGTGGGAGGTGAGAAAAATTAGATGTGTTGCATTCTAAAGCCACCCAAATGAAGAACGCACTTCTCTATTGTTTGGAGGGTCTTAAACCAGTGTCTGAGTGCTGCCTGATTTCTAGGTTACGTGGAAAACATTTGATTCTCCATAGTTACTCTTCAATTAAAAAAAAATCTTTAATCTCTTATTTTGAATTTTTAGCTCTCTCTTACTTTTTCATGATCTATAGTGAGTGAAGTCATTTTTGGGATGGGAAGGGGCAAACCCCTACCATTCTGCTTGCTGAAGCAGCAAGAAGACAAGTCTTTGCAAGAAATCTGCTTATCTTGCTTTTAAAGGGCAGATTTTATATTGCAGTCTGCACTCATTTATTCACAAAATTCACTGAGCTCCCAAGTGAAGAAAATAATGAGCACACCAGGCAAGTTTCCTGCATTCTCAGAGCTTTTCACCCACTGGAGCAGATTGGCAATAATCAGATACTCCCCTCCCCCAAGGCCTATTTATGCAATGTGATAAATGCTGTAATGAAGAATCACCAGAAACAAAGAGAACCTCTAAAAGGGGGAGTAGACTCGAAGGCGAGCAAAAGTGTCTCTTGAAGAACTGACCTTTGAAATTGAAGGATGAGTGGGGTTATTTGGAGAAAGGACAGGTGGCTCAGGCCGGCCATGGGCTGGGCAGAGGCCAGAGCCCACAGGGAAGAATAGCTTGTTGGGTCCCTGGTGCCAGTTACAAGAGACCCACTGGGAAGGACGGGGATGGGGTTTCTGCCCTGGTGCTGGTAGGGGGTGCAGTTTGTAGATCTCTCCAGGAGCAATTAAAACTGTCCCCTTAGAGTCCTATTAATTATCCGGGACAGGTATGCAATCAGTTTCCTTTTGAACTCTCCCTGTATTTGCAAAATATTAATCTTCCCAAGTCACCTGAAACAGACCCACCTTTAAAAACATTCATTAAGCTCTCATGTATCAGATGCTCTCCTGGGCTATTTTCCCCCCCATCACACATCAATACAGTGACTTCTTATCGTGAATTTTTAGCTTCCTCTTAGTATTTCATGGTCTATAGTGAGTAAGGTCGTGTGATGGACGGGAGTAGAGAAACCCCTACTATGTGGCTGAATGCACAGGCTTTTTAAGCAGGTGGAAGTCACCTCTCTGCAAGACATCTGCTTATCTTGCTTTTAACGGGCAAGAGGATCCTTTTCCAGAATTGAATTTCATTACCACAGGTAATGTTTAAAACAGCCTGAAAAGCATTAGTGGGAAAATGCACCCTGCTTCAGCTTCCTGAATTGGAGAAACAGAGGAGGACTGTGGGGAGAGGGCATCAGAAAGCAGCCCGTGCATCTACCCGTGTGTTAAACAGTGTGTACGTGTGCGTGCACAGAAGATGCTCTGCCACATTTCAGGTATGTGACTGGTTCTTAGCTCCTCACTCTGTCCCATTTTTAAGACAAGGCAAAAGGGAAAGGGGGGGGCGGGTCTCAAACTCACCTAAAAGTTACTAGATGTCATGTGGGACAGAGAAGGAACAATAAAGAAAAACAGGAACATTATAGAGGATTTCTCTAGAGTGGAGCACACACCCCAACTTCACCCTCTCAAATAAATTTTGTAATTCAATGCCGGCAATATGCCATCCCACACTGAAGCCAGGTTCTTCGTAATTCCTCAGTTAGGAGATCTGGAAATCTACACGTAAATGAATGCCACCTTCCTGTCACCAAAACGGCTCTTCATTCCCCCCTCCCCCAACAAAAGGAGCTGGAATCGTCAGTACATTGCTTCCTTCCTCCGGTGCCACACTTTGAGCTCTCCCAGGGCAAGGGCAGGTCCTGTGGGTGGCCAGGGCCCATGCGGAGAGCCCTCCCGCAGCCCTGGCACGCTAGCATCTTGCAGCCTGTTCGGTCCCTCCCGCACGGAGTCCCTGCACCGCGATGACAACACAGGCCGGCTCCCCAAAGCCGCAGTGGGTTGTATAACCACACTCTGAAAGCCTGCAGGGGAGCGCTGCGAGCTTCTCTCTCGACTGCATCTGTTAGAAGTCCCTGGTGCCAGTTACAAGAGACCCACTGCGCAGGACGGGGATGGGGTTTCTGCCCCGGTGCTGGTAGGGGGTGCAGTTTGTAGATCTCTCCAGGAGCAATTAAAACCTGAAGTTCCGTCCTTAGAGCTGGAAATGCAGGACAGTGAAGGGCACAGCGAGCCCTGCTACACCCCTCGCGTGCGGATCAGGCGACGGGGGATGGGGCGGAAACTAATGAATCCTGCGGGAGTCCTCAGAATTTCTCCCCAGAGAAGCCTCTCGCGAAAACGCCAAGGACATCTCCCCTCCCCTTTTCAATTACGTAACTCTTACACATTTGGGAGAAAGCTCAGGAACATGATTTCACTTAGGAAGGGAGAAAGTCTTTAGATGCATCTAAAGCTCCGGGTGCATCTGATGTCGGAACGGACGGGGGTGATACCTGGCAGCGGTAGAGGTGGCATCCTGGTGACTGGACTCCCCGCCCCCTCTGCCCTCCATACCCCGCGCCCGGAGACGGGTCGCCGCCGGGGATGGCGTTCGCCAGTCCCCGCGTCGCGGAGTCCGCGGGACCCGCACGTCCGCCGGCTGCGGCGCGGGCTGCCCCCTCCCCCACCCCGGCGAACACCTGGCTGCGGTTACCTGCGGGGCCGCGACTCTCCGCAGCCCGTTGGCCGGCCCCCGGCCGCCCTTGCAGTTGGCTGCAGGGAGCTGTGCGAGCCCCCGCGCCGCACGCTGCGCGGGGCCCGCGCCGTTTTCGCGCGGGCCTTCATCCGGCGCCGGGAAGAGCCCGCAGCGGCGCTGGAAGCGGGCGACGAGCTGGGAATCCTGCAGGCTCCGCAGCAGCTCGGCCATGGTGCTCCCGGGCCCGCGCGCCAACACTGCCACGCCGATGCCCTCGGCTCGCACTGTCCCCGCCGCTCCGGCACTCGCCGGGCCGGGCACTCGGGGCGGAGGGCGGGCGGGGCCCGGGGCGCCAGCCAACAGGTGCGCCGCTCGGGTCCTAGCGCCGACCCGCGCGCTCGGCCGGCCAGGTGACCGCCTCCACCTTGCGCGGGGCACGTCCGCCCTCCTTGCCCTCCCCGCGGGCTCGGAAGGGCTCGGGCGGTCCCTGGCGTCCGGCCTGCTTGCAACTAGGCGGAGGCGCACAGGTGTCTAAACCGCGCCTCTCTTTGTGCCACCGCGCCCTCTCCCCCGCCCCCGCCCCGGTCCCTTCGGGCTGGCGCGGAAGTGCCACCTAATGGGGAGCGGCCGAGCACGTGTAGACCAACGGGAGTCCTTCCTGCCGTGCGCGGGCTGGTCCCGGAGTGACCCCACTTTCACTCTTGAGCCCAAGGTGAGGTCGGATTTCTTTCCAGCTTCCCGCACCCAGGCGTCTACTCCTTTCTTTGCCTGCTTCCTGGAAGAATGAGCCCTCTAAGGAAGATCCCCAAGTTTTTTCCAAACTGTGATGCAACGTCTCCCCGAAGCCCGACCTCCTCGACCTTGCCCAAGAACCGAGGAGGTTGAAAGTATACATGAATCATCCTCTGAGTCCTTGAGCCTGTTCTTGTGATTTGGCAATTGAACACTTTTAGACGGGTGTGGAGGAAACGCTACTCTTTCTCAGTTTTCTGCATTGGGAAAGATGATGCTGCCCCTCCCTTCTACTTCTTTTTTTGCTCTGCCTCTAATTACAAAGGGGCACTGGAGAGGCGCAACAAGATCGTTCGCGACCTTTAGACCCTAAGGGAACCAGGTGAAGGGCGGGGAGGAGGATTTGACATCTCACCGCACCCCTGCCTGCTTTAAAGATCTCAGAAGGCGAGGAGCAAAGGAAACGTCCTGCAGGTGCCCTTGGTTTTCCTCCCTCCCTCCTGAATCTCCTAGGAGCGCTGAGATTCCCCCCACGAGGGCCTCTGCACTTCCTGACAAGGAGTGAGAGGCACAGTCAAATTAGGCCGAGCTGATCAGCCTGCAGCAAAAGTGCAATCCTTGTTTTTCTGTCTTCAGTTGACAGCAGGAGGTTGCGTGTTACTGGTAGCCCAATGCAAAGCCTACTGAGTATTTGGTTGCACAAATGACTATGAACGAACACCTGCCACTTTCCTGTTTATCCAGTTGTCCTTTTGGATCAGGAAGTCTTTAGGAGGTAGCTTTCAAGGATGGTTTGGTCTCCCTCATGCTTTAGTTTCTGTGCTCCTTCCCAATGTGATGGAGGGGCAAGATCAAGGTGACAAAGAAAGCAATGACACTTGGGAGATACTTAGTTTATAGAAGAAGCACAGGGCTGCTCTCACAATCCAGCTGTGTGACACACAAGAGCTATCCTGTCTTGGAAGCAGACAGCTCCTCTCCCCAGCGTCGCTGTTATTTACAGCCCCTGGGACAAAACCCTATCGTTTATTTTTAAAAGCTAAAGTTGGACTAAGGCAGGACCTATTCTTTTTATGTGTGAAAGAAATAGGTTCTCCCGGTCGCCTGGGTGGCTCAGTTGGTTGGGCGACTGCCTTTGGCTCAGGTCATGATCCTGGAGTCCCTGAATCGAGTCCCGCATCGGGCTCCCTGCTCGGCAGGGAGTCTGCTTCTCCCTCTGACCCTCCCCCGCCCATGTGCTTTCTCTCTCTCTCATTCTCTCTCTCTCAAAAATAAATAAATAAAAAATCTTAAAAAAAAAAAAAAGAAATAGGTTCTCCCATGAAGACACTTGAGTGGTGTATCTCTGAGATTTAATGCTTTAATTTTCCTTTCTCTCAATTAGAAAAAAAGAAGCAAAGCAAGCATGGCACATGTAACATAAGATGAAAGAATTGCACATTCAGATAATGTATTTTATCTCCTTGGAGGACCAAGTAATGGCTCCAGCCTCCAGGGACTTGTGATATCACAGTGTGCTTCGGTTTTTTCTCCTGTGATAAAATAATAATCTGTGCTTCTTGTCTTGTTAAGGCTATTGTGAAAAATCTTTAGATAAGCTCCATAAGGCAACCTGGTGAGATAGCCATAGCATTCTGTATTGGGCCAGAGCCATTCAATTTAGGAAGGAATCTTCAGGAGGATGTGGCTCTGAACAATTTGAGCGAGACTGAAAAGCCAGTGACTTCTGGCAGTGATCTGCATGCTTCTCCTGATCCTATCTTTTAGGGCACAGGCTGATGTTCTGAACATAAACTTCCCAACCAATCTAACAAAAATCAATGTCCTCAAGAAGTGGTAGGCTGAAGGACTGCTCTAGCATAACATTTAGTGGCGAAGTTCCAAGGTAGCCTGAAGTCATGCATTTAAGAAATAAAGTTGATGCAGGAAAAATAACCTGTAGTTGTTTGGACAGTTTAACACTAGTCATGCCTGGGAGAAACAGATTTTGCTGGCTCCCCTCCTCCACCCCCAGGGCAGAAATCCAGGTATTTGTACTTTGCTTAATTGTGTACATATAATAATTACTAAGTGACATATTTTAAAGGACCGGCAATGGAAGTATTCATTTCAGAGTAAAGGTTAAGCTACTGTAACAAAGAGACTCCAAAATCTAGTGGCTTAAAGAGCACAGCTTTTTATTTCCCTTTCATATAAGAGTTCCAAGGTGAGAAGTCTGGGTTAGTAGGAGGCCCTGCTCCATGACAGTACACAGCAACTCAGATTCTTTTCATTGCGACCCCTGCCCCACGCCCCTGGGACCAAGCCCAAGGTCACTGTCGTCTTCTGCATGATTGAAGCTGGGTGATGCGCACATCTGAAATCCCTGAGTGTCCTGAGCAGCAGCTTAGGTTCCATCAGTAAGAACACAGTCACATGGCCCAAGACAGACTTGCAAATGTTATCTCTAGCAGGACAGCCTATGTCCAGCTTTAACTATATTTCTGTGAAAGCAGGGAGGACAGATTTTTGGTGGACAATCAGGTATGGAAATCAAACCAATGTTGGTTTGAATGTTGTAAAATATAAATCTATGTTATAATTCCACCCATCATCTACCCAATTTTATCTAGGCAGTCTGTCTTTAATTTGACACATTCTAAATACTCATGTGCAGATACAATTTTTTTTTGTAAAGAAAGCACTAAAAATAAGTAAATTCAAAAGGAAACCTGTCATCTCTTTGTTGAATCAAAAATGAGGAGGAAATTGATGTCAAAATGCCTTTTAAATGAAAAACTTTGGTATTAACTGCATTATTTTAAATTCTGATTTAGAGTTCTCTCTCTATAGAGCAGGTCACGTCCACATTTCAACCAAACCATTCAGTTTTCAACTTGGCAATATTTCCTAGATCAAGACATATCCAGGGTTGGGATTCTGTATTGGTTATCTATTGCTGCATAACAAATTTTCCCACAAATAGTGGCTTAAAATGGCAGCGTTTATTATCTTGAAGTTTCTGTGGGGCAGGAGTCCAGGAGCATCTTAACTGGGTCCTCCGGCTCTGGGTTCCTCACAATGTTTCAGTCATCTCAAGGCTCAGCTAAAGGGGTAGATCAGCTTCCAAAATCACGTAAGTGGTGGTTGGTAGATTTCAAGTCTTTGTGGGCCATTGGCCAGAGGCCACCCTCTCTTCCTTGCCATACAGGTCTCTCCATAGGACAGTTCACAACCCAGCAGCTTCCTTCATCAAACAGAGAGAATCGGAGACAGAATCAGAGCAAGACAAAGTAGCCATCTTTTATGATCTGATATTGGAGGTCACACCCCAATACTTTTGTCATGGTCTACTTATTAGAAGCCAGTCTGTAGGTCCAGCCCACATTCAACGGGAGAGGGTATAAGACAAGAGCGTGAATAGTAGGATGTATGGATTAGCAGGGGCCATTTTGGACGCCGCCTACTATAGGTTCTCACACCTACATTAACTTTCTAACTTCATCTCCACAATATCAATATTTATCATCCCAAAAAGATATGATACAGAGCCTTGGCCTCAAAGAGCTTCCATCTGTTGCAGAAATAAGATGCACATACACACACAAGAAATGTGCAATGACATGAGAACATGTGTAATGGAAGACCTAGGGCATCAGAAGACTAATTTCTAGTAAAAAACTACATGTACCACAGCTGTAATTCTCAAATCTGGGATCAGAATTACCTTACAAATCTGCCAGTTACAGACACCTTAAAGACAACTGAAAGACAACTGAAAGCAGAAATTATTAAGTTGGAAAAGAGAAAAAAAATGAAACTGATAAATCCAAAAAGAATCTTTGGAAAAAATTAACAAAATCGAAAAACCACTAGTATGACAAAGAAAGAATAAAAGGAAAAAAAATGAAAGCTTAAAATTAGAAATGCTAAGGAAAAATAATCACCAAAAGCAGAGGAAATTTTAAAAGTCTTTAGAGGGTACTTCCCATGTCCCTGTGCAAACAGATCTGAAAATGCAGATGAAATAGATAATTTTTTAGAAAGAAACAACTTACCTAAAATTGGCCCCAGTAAAGAATGTCTAACACAGCAATTATCACAGACCGAGATAAAGGGGCTCAAATTCTCCCCCATAAAAAGCACTTAGCCTAGATAGTTTCACAGGGAAATTCTACCCAACCTTTAAAGAATGGATAATCTCAAAGCTACTTATTCTAGAAGAAAGAATTTTTCAAAATTCCTGTTATGAAAGCCATTATGATATTGATCTCAAAACTGAAAGAGCACCAAAAGGAAAACAACAGATGACTCTCACTTGTGAGTAGGGTTCAAAAATCAAATATCAAATATCAAATATCAACAGCTGAAATCCAAAGTCCATTTAAAAAAGAATGTATTGTGGCTAAGTGAAACTGGTTCCAGTCATAACATGAAAAAGCATCGTTAAATAACAAAAAAAATCCACCAATGCGATCCATCGTATTAATAGTGCTAAGGAGAAAAGTCATATGATTTGTTATATACGTTGAATTGTGTCCCCTCCCCCCAAAAGATATGTTGAAGTCTTAGCACCCAG